AAATAATTTACGACTGTGCCCTAGTCACAACTATCTCCACCGATATCTTGACCGATGTCCATAGCACCTTCCTCGCCCAGTCTTCGCACGTGGTGAGAAGTTTTAGTAGTTGTCAACAGTTGATGATCCTGCCGTCTTGAGGCAATCCCGTTGCCAGCAGTCGAGCCAAACGCCTGCGCGAGTCACGATGACCCTCAGCGCAGTGTTCCTGAATGGTACTGGCAACGGATACGGAGGCCCGCACTTGTCCAGAGACTATATCAATACACTCCGTTGTTCGCGTCGGGCCGCCTCATCGTTCACGTTCCTGGGTTCTCGAGGGTCGATGGCCAGGTTCATTTTGCGGGAGAGCGCGATTCCAGTAATGGCAGAGTGCCGCACGTATACCTTGCGATTGGTCGTCCTTCGGTTGTCGCCTTCATGTGGACCCTTAACAGATCCCCTTAGCATTTCCACGGGTTCCGCCCCCTCCCTATGTCATTCAACAAATACCAGAGGTCCTCAAATTTGGCGCAGCCGGCTTCGTCTGATTTCATCGGGTTTGTTCACATGTCCCAACGCTGTCCGATAGCCATGCTTCCTTTGGGCAAAATCATTCAAAAGCCTTTCGCCCAATTCCCAGAATTTGGCCCAGTCACCCAAGAACGCTTTGAATTGTTGAACCGCCTTGTATTCGCTCACGGGTTTACGTCCACCGCCTCCGGCCCTGGCGTTTCAAGCAGACGGTGTAGCCTCAACGATATAAGACACATGCTCCGAAGCGTTCGCTTGGCGTTGAATCTCTGTCTGGTCGTGTTTTTTCATGTTACTGAGCTGCCCCTCGCAATCCTTATTGCGGTTGATTACTGGTCCCAAGAAAAAGCACTATCTGTTTTGTCGCTAATCCGCCATATTGCGAATGCCTCGTCATTCTCAACGGTTCTGTTAACAGTTCTGCTTCCTAGCGCAGCGCTACGCTAAAAGAACTACCCCATCCCTTCATGATTGGCCTTGAGCGCTGTGTTAAAATACCTGAAATGTACTCGGCAGTGCACAGCTCCACGAAAAGGTGCGTGCTCAGGTTGTACCAAGCTTCTCGGACCTCGAGCGACGTCACATCGAAGCCTGGGGCAGCTGTGTCACGATTTGGTGGAGCCGTTGCGGCTGCCGCCGCAGCCGTTGCAGGGAAGCGAACGCTTCGCGGAGATAACCATGTGCACTGGAACCCGTAGGGCGAACCACGGATTCCGCTACCATGAGGCAAACAGACTTTGTGCCAAACGCCAGCGGGCGCAGGCCGTGTGCAAAAATCCCACTACAACATGTTGCCAAATTTCGCGACCTGTCCACCAAGTCGGAACGCCATAATCTAGCAGTCAATTCTCCTCCTCGTCCTCCTCCTCCTCCTCCTGCTCCTCCTCCTGTTCCTCCTCCTCCTCCTCCTCATCATCATCAATACCATCAGCATCATCATCATCATCATCATCATCATCATCATCATCATCATCATCATCATCGTCATCATCATCATCATCATCAGCACCATCAGCATCAGCATCATCATCACCATCCTTCCCATCTACTTACTCCACGTATCTCCTCATCTCTGGTTCCGACTCCTCCCGCATCATCTCCAACCCCTGCTCTGCTCTACATCAGATTCCACATCATCCCGTCTGCCCTCATCATCCTCCGCTTCCCCCATTTTCGTATCACCCTGGGACAAAGAGGACTGGGATGGGGAGAGGAAAGGAAAGACAAAGGAGAGAAAAGAAAGGGGAACCGAAGGCAATGTGGAAGAGGGCAGGGCGACCCCTCCCCATGGAAGCATACAAACATAGCGGGTTCGAAAGGGAAGCGGCCCAGCGGTCGGACGAGCCTTAAGATGCGACGCGCAGGAGGAGCGAGAGAAGAGAAATGGGAGAGGCCGCGGGAAGGGGGGTGGGGGAGGTGAGTGAGATCAGCGGCTCTCCCGATTCGAATGATGCCAGCTGACCACGTGGCGTAGGAGTCGTCTGTGTCCACCACGCCCTCATTGAAAACCGCAAACATGAAGAGGCAGTTCACGACCTACCGAGCAGTGCAGTAAAATGTGGTCGCTCCGCCCCCTCCAGCTCCTCCCCGAATGTCTCCTCCTCCTACTCCTCCTCCTCCTCTCCTTTCTCCTCCCCTTCTCCTCTCCTCATCATCCCCTCTCCTCCCATTCTCCGCATGCCGGTCCTTGGAACTTGGGCCTTCCGAAATCAACGCTGGTAGCCACCGCGGTCTCAAGCGACGAGAGGATAGGAGGGGCAATACGATGCTCCATCCCAATGCCGCGGCCATTGCCTGATAGGATCAACGGCCTCAGGGAGACAATGAGCTGAGCCAGCGAGCTCGATCCCTCACATGCCACACCCTTGACCCTTCCATCGATCTCACCGCCGTCAGTCGTTCTCCTTGGTGAAACTGTCGCTATGTTATACTGCTGTTGATATTGGGCGCGTGGGCGCCGACCACAACAGCTGTGTAAGACAGGCCGACTCCAAAATTCCACATGTCTTCCTAATCCCCGCTCATCACTCCTCGTTCCTCATCGTCCGTCATCGCTCCTTCCGTCTCACCAATCCCAGCTCGCTCCTTTCTCCTCCCTCCCTCCCCACTCCTCTTCCATCCTTCCCTGTCCTCTAAACTCGTATGTCCCAGTATCCTTCCGTTGTCGTCCTCAATCCCTTCCTGCGTCCTGATTCACCCTCCTCCATCCATCATACATTCTCCCCCTTCCTAAGAAACATAACATCTGGTGCAACCACATCACCATCACCATCATAATCATGAACATCAGTAACTCCATCATCATCATCATCATCATCATAACCACCACCATCATCATCATCATCATCATCATCATCATCATCATCATCATCATCATCATCGTCATCGTCATAGACATCAGCATTATCATAAATACAGTCACAACCATCATCATCAGCATGAGCAGCAAAATCATCATCAGCATCATCATCCTCATCATCAACAGCAGCATCATCAGCAGCATCAGCATAAGCATCATCATCACCATCATCATCCGCATCATCATCAGCAACATCAGCATCATCATCATCATCATCATCATCAGCATCATCATCAGCATCATCATCATTCTTTCGCATCATCACGCCATAGTAGTCAGCATCATCACAATCATCATCATCAGCATCATCACCATCATCATTACCATGACGAACTTACATCGTCATCATCATCATCACCAGCAACATCACCATCATCATCAGCATCAGCATCATTATCATCATCAACATTAGTATATTAGTATCATCATCCTCGTCGTCAGCATCATGATCATCATCATCATCATCATCATCATCATCATCAGCATCATCGTAATCAGCATCATCATCATCACCATGAACTGTATCAACATCACCATGTAGACAATAGTGATAATCCAGCCCATCATCATGAATGAATATCATCATCGTCATCGCCGTGGTCATGGTCGTGATAGGCCACCGTCATCGTCAAAATCATCACCACCACCACCACCATCACCATCATCATCATCATCATCATCATCATCATCATCATCGTCAGTGTCATTGTCATCGTCGCCATCGTTATCAGCATACTCATCATCGATGCCGTTCTCCTCAAAATCGCGATCGCCATCATTCTCATCATCAGCAGCAGCAACAGAATCGTTATCATCATTATCATCATCATCATCATCATCATCATCAGCATCATCATCATCGTCATCAGCATCTTCATCAGCATCCCCATCATCAGCATCAGCATCCGCATCAGCAGAAGCAGCAGCAGCAGCTTCATCAGGGTCAGCAGCGTCAGCATCGCCTTCATTAGCAGAATCAGCATGGTCATCAGCATCATCATCAGCATCGTCATCATCAGCCTTCTCCTCCTCCTCATCCTCCTCTTCCTCGTGATCATCACCATCAGCATCATCAGCATCACCATCCTCCTCTTCCTCCTCATCCCTCTCCTCCTCAGCAGCATCATTATCATGATCACGATCGTCATCATCAACACCATCATCGGCATCGGCATCGTCAATACGCAGCGCCATAGTCGTCATCTGTATCATCATCATCATCATCATCATCATCATCATCATCATTATCATCATCATCATCCTCATCACCCTCATCATCAGCATCACCCCCACTATCATCATCAGCAGCATCACCACCACCATCCTCATCACCAGCATCAGCATCAGCACCATCATCATCATCACGATCAACAGCATCACCAGCATCCTCATCATCATCAGAATTATCATCAGAATCATCACCATCACCATCACCATCACCATCACCATCATCAGCATCAACATTACCGTACGTTTCACCATCATCATCGTCATCATAAGCAGCACCTGCAACCTCATCATCATCACCATCATCGTCATCACCCTCATAGTCAGCACCCGTATCATTGCCATCAGCATCGCCATCACCATCATCACAATAAGTTCAATCGCAACTATCGTCATTCATAACATCATCATCATCATCATCGTCATCATCGTCAGTATCACCATCAGCATCTTCAACATCAATTTCATCATCACCAGCAACAGCAGCAACAGCGTGTCCAGCGTCAGTATCACCGTCGTCAGCAGAATCAGCATGGTCATCATGATCCTCCTTCTCATCAGCATCATCATCATCATCATCATCATCATCATCATCATCATCATCGTCAGTGTCATTGTCATCGTCGCCATCGTTACCAGCATACTCATCATCGATGCCGTTCTCCTCAAAATCGCGATCGCCATCATTCTCATCATCAGCAGCAGCAACAGAATCATTATCATCATTATCATCATCATCATCATCATCATCATCATCAGCAGCAGCATCATCATCATCGTCATCAGCATCTTCATCAGCATCCCCATCATCAGCATCAGCATCCGCATCAGCAGAAGCAGCAGCAGCAGCTTCATCAGGGTCAGCAGCGTCAGCATCGCCTTCATTAGCAGAATCAGCATGGTCATCAGCATCATCATCAGCATCGTCATCATCAGCCTTCTCCTCCTCCTCCTCATCCTCCTCTTCCTCGTGATCATCACCATCAGCATCATCAGCATCACCATCCTCCTCTTCCTCCTCATCCCTCTCCTCCTCAGCAGCATCATTAGCATGATCACGATCGTCATCATCAACACCATCATCGGCATCGGCATCGTCAATACGCAGCGCCATAGTCGTCATATGTATCATCATCATCATCATCATCATCATCATCATCATCATCATCATCATCATCATCATCCTCATCACCCTCATGATCAGCATCACCCCCACTATCATCATCAGCAGCATCGCCACCACCATCCTCATCACCAGCATCAGCATCAGCACCATCATCATCATCACGATCAACAGCATCACCAGCATCCTCATCATCATCAGAATTATCATCAGAATCATCACCATCACCATCGCCATCACAATCACCATCATCAGCATCAACATTACCGTACGTTTCACCATCATCATCGTCATCATAAGCAGCACCTGCAACCTCATCATCATCACCATCATCGTCATCACCCTCATAGTCAGCACCCGTATCATTGCCATCAGCATCGCCATCACCATCATCACAATAAGTTCAATCGCAACTATCGTCATCCATAACATCATCATCATCATCATCATCATCATCGTCATCATCGTCAGTATCACCATCAGCATCTTCAACATCAATTTCATCATCACCAGCAACAGCAGCAACAGCGTGTCCAGCGTCAGTATCACCGTCGTCAGCAGAATCAGCAAGGTCATCATCATCCTCCTTCTCATCAGCATCATCATCAGCATCGACATCCTCATCCTCCTCATCCTTCTACTCATCATCTTTCTCATCATCACCGTCTTCATCACCCTAATCATCGGCATCGGCATCGTCAGTAACCATCGTCATCGTCGTCATCATCATCAGGATAGGATCATCATCACCACAACAACAACCATCATCATCATCATCATCATCATCATCATCATCATCATCATCATCATCAGCATTACCATCAGCATCATCACCATCACGACCATCACGATCACCACCATCATCATCATCATCATCAGCATCATCATCATCAGCACAATTAGCAACACCATCACCAACATCATCAGCACCAGCATCAGCATCAGCATCCGCATTATCATCATCATCATCATCATCATCATCATCAGCATTAGCATCATCATCATCATCATCATCATCATCGTCATAATCATCATCATAATCATCATCATCATCATCATCATCATCATCATCATCATCATCATCATCATCATCATCATCGTTATCGTACTGATCACCATCGTCGTCATCATCAGCAATGGCCGCATCATCATCATCATCTAAACAATCGTCTTCATCACCCGCACAGGTCGTCATCCGCATCATTGCCACCATCATCGTCATCACCATCACCATAATAATCACCATCGCCGCCATCGTCGTCCACACCACCATCACCATCATCATCATCACTATCACCATCATCATCTCCTCCTCCTCCTCCTCATCATCATCACCAATAGATTCGCCAACGAAAAGACAATCAGCATCGTCCTCAGAACGCTCCAGTTTCCCCCCGCGTCCAGTCTTATAGCCCTTTTCATTGCACCTCGACCCTCATCACTAAGCCCCAGGCCGCAACGATAGTCCCTATGATCGTATACCACGCAGACATCATGGTATGACCCACGTCCATCGTGAAGGTGAAGGCGAAGACGGTGATCGCGTACTGCAGGCTCCATCCCTGCCGCCAGTGCAATGGAAGATGTCCACTCGCATTGCTGCGTGGTGGCAGGGCGGTACGGGCAGACAAATCACGGGGCAGAAGAGTTAGTGAGATAGGCATAGATAAACATATATATATATATATATACATAGAAAAAAGGAGAGAGAAAGACCTAGAGAGAGAGGAAATGAGAGAGTAAGAGAGCGAGTGAGGGAGAAAGGGGAAGCGAGATAACAACGAAGAGAGAGAGAGAAAAAGAGAGAGAGAGAGAGCGAGGAAGAGCCAGAGAGCGAGAGAGAAAGAGAGAGAGAGAGAGACAGAGAGAGAGAGAGGACAAGGGATATATATATACACACATCTATATACGTAGACACTAGAACACGACGCGCGCTTTGTGTCTGTGTGTCTGTGTGTCTATGTGTCTGTGTCTGTGTGTCTGTGTGTCTGGGTGTCTGTGTGATTATGTGTCTGTGTGTCACTGTGTCTGTGTGTCGCTGTGTCTGTGTGTCTGTCTCTGTGTGTGTCTGTGCGTCTGTGTGTCAATGTGCCTGTGTGGCTGGGTGTCTGTGTGACGCTGTGTCTCTGTGTCTCTGTGTGTCTTTGTGGTTATGTGTCTGTGTGCCTGTGTGTCTGTGTGTCTGTGTGCCCGTGTGTCTGTCTTTGTGTGTCTCTGTGTGTATGTGTGTCTGTGTGTCTGTGTGTCTGTGTGTCTGTGTGTCTGCGTTTCTGCGTATCTGCGTATATGTGTGGCTGTGTGTCTGTGTCCGTGTATCACTGTGTCTGTGTGTTTGTGTGTCTGTGTGTCTGTGTCTCTGTGTGTCTGTATGTCTGTGTGTCTGTGTGTCTGTGCTTGGTGTGTCTATGTGTCTGTGCGTCTGTGTGACTGTGTGTCACTGTGCCTGCGTGTCTGTGTCTCTGTGTGTCGCTTGGGTGTGTCTGTGTGCCTGAGTGTGTCTGTGTGTCTGTGTCTGGGCGTCTGTGTGTCTATGTGTCTCTGTGTGTCGCTGTGTGCCCCTGTGTGTATCTATGTGTCTCTGTGTCACTGTGTGTCCCTGTGTGTCTCTGTGTGGTTATGTGTGTCTCTTTGTGTCTCTGTGTGTGACTGTGTGTCTCTGTGCGTCTCTGCTTGTCTCTGCGTACCTCGGTGGGTCTCTGTGTCTCTGCGTGCCGCTGTTTCTCTTTGTGTGTGTCTGTGTCTGTGCGTTTCTCTGGGGGTCTCTATGTGTTTCTGTGTGTGTCTGTGTGTCTCGGTGTGTCTCTGTGTGTCTCTGTGCGTCTGTTTGTGCCTCTGTGTGTCGACGTGTGTCAACGTGTGCCTCTGTATGTCTCTGTGTGTCTCAGTGTGCCTCGGTGTCTCTGCGTCTCTGTGTGTCTGCTTACGTCCCTGTATGTCTGTCTATCTCTGTGTGTGTGTCTCTGTGTATCTCTGTGTGTCTGTGTGTGCCTGTGTGTGCTCTCGGTGTCCGTGTGTGTCTGTGTGTGTCTGTGTGTGTGTGTTTGTGTGTGTGTCTGTGTGCGTCTGTGTGTGTGTGTGTCGCTGTGTGTGTCTGTGTGTGTCTGGGTTTGCGTGTGCGTGTCCGTGCGTGTCTGTGTGTATGCGCGTGTCTGTGCGTGTCTGTGTGTGTCTATGCGCGTCTGTATGTGTGTCCCTGTGCGTGTCTGTGTGAGGCTGTGTGTCTTCGTGTGCCTGCGTGCGGCTGTGTGTCTGTATGTGTCTGCGTATGGTTGTGTGTGGCTGTGTGTGTCTGTGTGTCCGCGTGTGTCTGCGTGTGTCTGTGTGTGTCTGCGCGCGTGTGTCTGAGTGTGTCTCTGCGTGTCTGTGTGTCTGTGTGTGCCTGTGTGTGCCTGCGCGCGTCTGTGCGTGTCTGTACGTGTCTGTCAATGTCTGTACGTGTCTGTGCGCGTCTGCGCGTGTCTGCGAGTGTCTGCGTGTGTCTGCGTGTGTCTGCGCGTATCTGGGTGTGTCTGCGTGTGGCTGTGTACCTGCGTGTGTTTGTGTGTGGGCGTGTGCATCTACATGTGTCTCTGTGCGTCTCTGTGTGTCTGCGTGTGGATGTGTGAGGCTGTGTGGCTATGTGCGCCTGTGTGCGTCGGTGTGCGTCTGTGTGCGCGTGTTTCTGCATGTGTCTGCGTGTCTGCGTGTCTGCTTGTGTCTGCGTGTGGCTGCTTGTGCCTGCGTGTCTGCATGCGTGTGCCCGTGAGTGTCTGTGTGTATATCTGTCTGTGTGTCTGTCTGTTTGTGTCTGTGTGTGTCTCTGTGTGTCTGTCGTGTCTCTGTGCCGTAGTCTACGTGTGTCTGTGTGTCTGTGTGAGCCTGTGTGTGCCTGTGTGTGTCTGTGTGTGGGTCTGTATGTGTGCCTGTGTGTGTGTCTGCGTGTGCCTGTGTGCGTGTGTCTGTGTGTGTCTGTGTGCCTGTGTGTGCCCGTGTGTGTCTGTATGTTACCGTCTGTCTGTGTGTGTCTGTCTGTGTCTGTGTCTGCGTGCGTGTGCGTGCGTGCGTGTGGGTGTGTGTGTGTGTTTGCGTTTGTATGTGTGTGCGTATGTGTGTCTGCGTATCTGTGCGCGTGCGCGCATATGTGTGTGTGTGTGCGCGTGTGCGTGCGTATGCGCGCGTGCGCGCGTGTGCGCGTGTGCGCTCGTGCGCGTGCGCGCGTGCACGCGAGCGCGAGTGCGCGCGCGGTCGAACTATTACTAGTACGACTACCACTACCACTACTAAAACTACTGGTACTGCGGCTACGGCTACGGCTACGACGGCGACGGCGACGGCGACGGCGACTACTACTACTACTACTACTACTACTACTACTACTACTACTACTACTACTACTACTCTACGACTACTACGACTACTACGACTACTGCGACTACTACGACTACTACGACTACTACGACTACTACTACTATTATTACTACTACTACTACTACTACTACTACTACTACTACTACTACTACTACTACTACTACTACTACTACTACTACTACTACTACTACGACTACGACTACGACTACGACTACGACTACGACTACGACTACGACTACGACTATCATTATTGCTACTACTACGCCTACTACTACTACTACTAATCCTACTACTACTACTACTACTACTACTACTACTACTACTACTACTACTACTACTACTACTACTACTACTACTACTACTACTACTACTACTACTACTACTACTACTACTACTACTACTACTACTACTACTACTACTAACGACTACTA